AGTGACTGCTTTGAACAGCCGTCTGAGAATCCCCAGCCTTGCCAAAACACGACTCCTGGGACCTCAACACCGCGAGGAGAGCAGGAGGACCACGACAGGGAGTAGAAGACACGGAGGGGAGGAGAAGGAGCACGGAGGGATGAGGGGGGGGGGAGGATGACGGGGTAAACGGGGGATGAGCAGATGTATGAGGAGGAGGGGGTCGGGGGTGTCGAGGAACACCACACCAGGAGGAGGGGCAAGAGGCGGGAGGCGGGAAGAGTCAGGGGGGAGATTGGAGGATGAGTGGGAGAGGACGGTCTTTCCTTCGTCCTCCTGTTGCGGTTCCTGCTCCTGCTTCCCCGCTTCCTCTCCCTACCCCCTCGTCTTGCTTTGCCTCCCCTCCCGTCCCCTTTTCTGATCATTGTGTTCCTGCTCCGACTTCCAGCTCTCTTGTTTCTGCTGCCCCTGCTGCTGCCGCTGCTCCTCCCTGTCCCCCTGCTCCTTCATTCTCCACTCCTCTCTTCGCCCTCCTGCTCCTCCTCCTCCTTCTCCTCCTTCTCCTCCTCCTTCTCCTCCTCCTCCTTCCTTAATCCCTCCCTCTCTCCCTCCTTCCCTTCCTCCCTCCCTCCTCCCTGCTGCCTCGCACTCTTCCTCTTCAGCTCTCAGCGAGGAGGTCAGAGGAGGCGTTGTGGTGCTGGTTCTCGCCAGTCCCATGCGCTTTTGGCGGGGCCACTGGCCTCGGGCAGGGCGTCCGCCGTGTTTGTGCTCGCGCAGAGTGCCTCATTGAGCGATCCGGCGCCAGACGGCGCCAGGACGAGGAAGGGTTGATCGACGTTTGCGTGGAAACTCAGAGTACTCACGCGTTGGTGCAGTGGGCCCAAGGAGCGTCGGTGGCTTCGTTTCTGGCGGTGCGGCGGCACATGGACTCCGACCCGCCAGTGGTCTCCGGCAGGCGAGGCTCGCACCCGCTGCCCGTGGTGCCCCGAACCCCGGTGCTCCACCCGGCATCTGTTCGCGGACTGCCCCCGGTTCGTCGCGGCCCGCGGTGGCCTCGAGAGGGGGTTCGGCCTGCTCCCCAGCTGGTGGACGACGGTGCCCCGCGTCGCGTCCAAGACGGGGTGGATCACGCGTGCTGCGGGCCCACGCCCCGCGGACCGGGCCCGCCTCCAGGTGGTGGCGCGCCGGCTGGCGCTGGCCATCATATCATCGAGGCGGACGTCCGGCAGGCTCACGAGGAGGCGGGTGCCTCCCTGCCTCCCCCGCGGGGCCGTCCGGGCGGCCCCACTGAGGACGACGGCGGTGCTGCTGTTGTACCGGCGGGGGGGGGATAGGCGGCCTGGCGGCCCCTCCCCTCCCTCCTTCCCTCTTTCCCGCTGCTCTGCGGCTGGCTGGACATGGCCAGCGGCCGCCTGCCGCCTGCCTGACCGGCTGCCTGTGGCCAGGCTTGGCCGCGGCGGCCTCTCTCGGCTTAATCATTTAGGTAATGAAGGGCTACGCGCCACTGGCGCGCCTGCAGAGGCAAGGCCGCCAGCGCGCCTACCTCTTTGCAACCTCTACCCGCGGACACTCCAACTCGTACCTCAGGGCACGGTGTATATATATATATATATATATATATGTAATATTATATATATATATATAATCGCTTCGCTCATGCCGCCGGCCCTGGAGCCCTCTTTAGGGCCTCTTGGGGGCCTCTTGGGGACCTCTTGGGAGTCTCTTGGGGCTCCTTGGCGGCGTTTTGGAGGCCCCCAGGGCCTCTTGGGGGGCTCTTGGGGGTAGTCGATTGCGGCTCCCCCCTCGGAGGCCACGATCCTCGTGAGGGGTGTCGAAAAATACCCTCCCCTGGAGTGGTCTGGTGGCTTCTCCCGGGCTTCTCTCGGGACCTTGCCGGGGTACTTTTCGTCCGGGGGCCCCCAGGGGCCGCTCCGCGCGCGCGAACTAGAAATATTGTTAACAAGTTACCGGAGTTCTTAGCACGCTCTGGCCGTTGGCCGGCGAATATATATATAAATATATATATATATATATATATAATATTTATATATATATATATATATATGTAGATGCATTCGTTACACATATAAACACATAGCTACACCATGATACCACAGTTTTCTTTGTGCATATAGATATCCTCATATCCATTTATTCGTATGCACATGCAGAATTATGTACAACTGTGCGCATATATGGCGGCATGTGTACATGCATGTAAACAGTTACGTATACGATGATACATGTGTAGAACATGTCCAGTCTACACAGATGTATCGTTCGATTTTAAACAAACGTGTATATGTTTATCAATCGATCTGTATGTATATATATATATATACACATGCAAGCATACAGGGGAACTTATCTGCAACGATCGGGTGAGCTCGGTGCGCGCGCCGTGTGTGGCATCCTGCCCATCCCACCCATCCCGTCCTGTTGCGCTGGTGTTCTCTATCCGCCCATGGAGGTCCAGGCGGACCTGGGTTTCCCAAGTCACCCCATCGTGCGATGCGCAATCCGGCAGGGGGCATGTCTACAATGGAGCAGTGGGGGGAGGAGGTTGCGCATGGGCGCGAAGACGATGAACGCGAGGAAGGAACATGAAGAGGATAAGGAAAAGCATAGGCAGGATCAGGGGTTGGAGGTGGGGAGAAGGGAAATGATGATAAGGACGAGGAGGAGGAGGAGGAGGAGGAGGAGGAGGAGAAGGAGGAGGAGGAGGAGGAGGAGGAGGGAATCGGATCCAGAAAGGTACCCGCGCGGGGGCCAGAACGCCATCTTGATCGGCCGGATCAGAGCGCCGAACCTGAAACGTGGCCAACTGCAGCGCGAGCGCCCTTTTTGCAGAACCACCGAACTGCGAACGAGAGCGAGAGAGAAAGAGAGAGAGAGAGAGAAACAAAAAAATGCAGTTTGCGTCTTGAGTAGATGTAGAAGGGAAGCAACAACCAGAGAACAGGGACACTGCCAGAGGGGCAGAGGGATATGGAAGGGGGGGGAGGACGGAAAAGAGGAGGACGAAAAGGAGACAAAAGACAAGAAAAACGAGGACGGCAGCTGGCGCAGGAGGAGGACAGGCAATACGAGGAGGAAGCGGAGGATGAGGACGCATTGGGGCAAGGCGGGGGCAGGAGGAGGAGGAGGACGCTGAGGAGGAGCAAGAGGACGACGTGGAGGACGAGGTGTAGAAAACAGGCGAGGTCGAGGAGGATGCGGGTGAGGGGGAGAACGACGACGGCAGCAAAGACGACGTCGAGAAAGTCATCGCCAAGCTGGTCGCCACAGGGCGCGCGCGCGCGCGCCTTGCGTGCTCCGAGCTGGCAGCAGCATGCGGGCGAGATCGCGACAGTGCGAGGAGCAGGAGGAGGAGGAGATGGGGAGCAGGAGGGAAAAAGGGGAGGGAGAGGAGCAGAACAATGAGGAGGAGGAGGGGGAGGAGGAGGAGGAGGAGGAGGAGGAGGAGGAGGAGGAAGAGGAGGAGGAGGAGGAGGAGGAGGAACACTATTGGACCATTCAAGCATGTAGGCACAGAGGACGCGGAGGAGGAGCTGGGTGCGGAGGTCGGCGGGGGCAGGCACGAGAGGGGGGGAGAGGAATGGGGGAGGGAGGAGGGGGGGGGGGCAAGGACGAACGCGGGAGCGAGGAGGAACGGAGAGAGGACGATGACGAGGACGAAGACGAGGGGAGCAGGACGGGGACAGGGACGAGGCACGAGGCGTAAGGCGCGCTGGCGGGGCGTTCGGCAGGTCCCCGCCGCAGCGGCCCGCCGAGGGGCCGGCCGAGCTGCCTACGGCGCAGGAGGAGGCCACCGAAGGGGGCTGCGCCCCCCTGTTCGGACCGACCTTCGGAGCATCAGCCCACGCCTCCTCCTCCTCCTCCTCCTCCTCCTCCTCCTCCTCCTCTTCCTCTTCCTCTTCACTCCCCCCATCCCTTCCCTCTCCCTCCTCACTCCTCCTCATCCTCCTCTTCCCTCCTTCCCTTCCCTCCTTCTTCCTCCTCCTCCTCCTCTTTCCCCTCCTCCTCCTCCCCTTCCCTCCACTTTCCTTCTCCCTTCCGCTCGCACGGGCGCTCCACTCCCCCTCTTCCCTCCTCTTCCTCCTCCGACCGACCTTTAAGTGCAACGTGAGGCGAGGCACGGTCAGGAACTTTTGGCATAGCGCGTCGCGCCGGTTGTTATGGCCCACAGCTCTTCGGAGCGTTACGCTATCCACAGCCCGGTGTCCAAGCGTCACCCCCCCGAGCTTTTCACAGCCTCCTGCCCCACGGAGCGGAGCAACACGCTGTCTGCTCGTAGGGGGGCCCTGTAGTCTGGGGGGGGGTCTTGTAGTCTCGGGGGGGGGGTCCTTGGAGTCTGGGGCGGGGGCCCTTGAAGTCCTGGGTTTGGGTTCCTGTAGTCCGGGGGGTGGAAGCTGTGATCTTCGCGGGGCGACGTCCCGCTCGACGACCGCACCGCGAATACGCGCGCCTGGCAACGCACAGGGCCAGGCAACGTGGCCACGACTGCGAGCGTGGCAGTAAGTATTTTGTTGGGAGGCCCGCGAAACACTACCATCTGCGCGGGACACCACTTCGTTAGGCACAACAGGGCCGCAGCTGATTGGGGGGGGTCCAGCGCGCCTGTCCGCGCCGACCCGCGCAAGGCAAGGGAATCGCGTCGTTCTTCGCGGGGCTCTGGCCCGCTGGACACCCAGGGTTGCAGCGAAGAGGCGCCAGTGCAAGGGAGAGGAAGCGAGGAAAAACGATAAAAGCGGAAGGGGGCGGGAGGGGCAAGTGAGCAATGAAGAGGCGAGAAGCCCCTCTCCGAGACAACGGCCCCGACATCCGTCACTGGCAATCCGTAGCAGCTCCTGTATTGGGTGGGTCCGGGGGGGTCCTTGTAGTCCGGGGTTGGGTCCCTGTAGTCCCGGGGCGGCCCCTTGTAGTCTTGGGGGGTCCCTGTAGTCCGGGAGGTGTCCCCTGTAGTCGGGGGGGGGGCCCTTGTAGTCCGGGGGAGGGGCCCTTGTACTCCTGGGAGCCCTTGTAGTCCAGGGGCCCAAACCTATTGAGGTACTTCAGTGTCGAGGTTCGAGGCTCGAGGTTTTGCAGATGATTTCGCCAGCTCTCGGCGGTTTTGCAGATGATCTCGAGAGGCGCCTGGGGGTGCCCGGATCCTCCCGAACGGCTGCCGGAGAGTCGAGTTCTGACTCGGAAGCCAGGGGTGCAACGTGGTAGCCTCAAGTCGGGCATGTCCCTCCACAGGAGGAAGATTCGAGAGTAGTGAAAGCAGGGTCTGCAGTAGCCACCTTTCGAGCTCCTTTGGCTATTCTGGAGTACGTTTTGGCCATTTCGAATGCGTCTTCCAAGACCCCCCCCCTGTGGGAGGACATGCCCGACCTAGGGTCGGGGGAGCGTAAGACCTGGGTTTGCCAGGACTCGGGTTCGCCATCGTTTTTTGACGACCGCGCCTCGGATTTTGACGAGGAGGAGTTTCGTGGGATGTCTGCAGCGGGAGGCCTCGTCAAAATGCAGGCTCGGCCTCGTCATTTTTGTTGACGACCTCGTCGGGCCAACCCGAGTCCCCCGTACCCGGGTCTTACGTCTCCCCGATAGGGGGGGGGGCATCGACCCATGCCCGACCGAATGATCGATCCAGGGCGGGGGGGCATCGACCCCGGGTCGCTCACCTCGTCGCCGAGGCCGACGGCCCCTCCCCGCCCCTGGAGCGCGCACCCAGCGGCACCGCGTTCACTCGCGCCCCCGCCGCCCATGTCTCAGCCACGCGCGGAGGATTTCAAAAAAACCCTTCGAACGAAGGATTGCAAAAAAACCCTTCGAACGAAGGGTTTTTTTGCAATCCTTCGGGTTTTTTTTGCAATCCTTCGTTTTTTTGCAATCCTTCGTCCCAGCCGCGCGCGGAGGGGGGTGTGGGGGGAGGGGGGAGGGCTTCTTAGAAGCACCCCTGCCTCTTGGCAGGCGCGGGCCTTCTCTTTCTACATGTGGGGCCGGCGCCTGGCGCCTTCCGAGAGGGCAGCCCCCTTCTGAGACCCCGTCCCCCCTCCCCCCATACCCCCTCCTGCGTGCCGCCAAATGTCGGCACACACTTCGGTCGGCGGGGCGAGAGCGAACCTCTTCCGCTAAAAGCTAGGCGGGCTACGGGCAGCTTTAATTAAGGAGACAGGGCGCAGGAAGGCGGGGCCTCAGGCGGCCGGAGCGGGTGGAGCCCGGAGCGGGTGGAGCCCAGGGTGCAGGCGGTGCTGAAGAGCTTGCACAGGAGAAGGTACGCCGTGGACGAGGCCGGGGGCGAAGACCCGGAAGGCGGTGGGGGTGGTGTAGCCGTCAGCGGCGCGTCGCGAACACCAGCCTCAAGTACAGCGGGGAAGGACGTGCCATTGACCAGGTCGACGCCCAGCAGGGAGAAGAGCACCACAAAGGCGATGAGCAACGTTGTGCCACCGGATTATGCGGAGGAGGCCCAGGAAGAAGAAGGGTCAACACACGCACACACAGACACCCACCCACCCACCCACACACACAAAAAAAACACCTCACACGCTCCGTGGATCCATAGGCTGTAGACGCGACAACGGCGATGTAGGCAACGGCGATGTCGGTTTCGGTGCGGTGGGAGCGCGTGGCTCGCGCGTTCCTGCAATTCGCTGTGCCGTGTTCGTTCAAGACCTTCGCATGTCGGACACGTGGGAGAGCGCGGTTCGCGATGCCATGCAAGTTTGTTCCCAGCACCACCGTTCAGCAACATCGCCGCCAGCGTGGCCTTGGATAGGGATCTCCATCGAAGGTCCTGGTGGCACCGTCCACATGCGTCTTCTGCGCCCATGTCTGCACACCCTTCACACGGTTCGTCGCTTCTTACGAAGCTCTCCACCGACGACGATACTCACAGCCGCGTGCTCACAGCTGCAGATGGTTGGATCTTCGGCGGCGCAATACCTGAAACTTGTGATCCGGGCTGCTGGTCTTTGAAGGCAGACGACATTCCCTTGGCGACGGGCGCTCCTGCTCGTGACCCTCCTCTTGTTCTCGATGATCCGCATCCCGAGTAGCATCATCCCTTATTATCCTGACCATTGTTTTCGCCGTGAAAAAAGGGCCACTGAAGGAAAGGGGCCCTGGAGTTTTTGTCACCACTTTCGGGACCATGCAGCAACGACTTGGGATGGAAAGCTGTTCTCGTGGCAAGCCCCATGGTCCAGATCCCGTTTCCACCAGGACTCACTCATGTCCTCATCGTCCTCGCCTTGCTCAGCTTCGAGGGAGGGGTAGGACGTCAGATATGACGCGAGCGCACCTAGCTTGATCCCCCCCCCTCCTCCCCCATCCCCCCCTCCACCCCCTCCACGCACGCTCCCCCACAGCCAGGTGCGCAGGCCCATCGCCATCTCGCGCGCGCGCGCGCGTCGTGGGAGCCTGCAGTGCTGCCGCGCACTGGGGATGCTCCTCGCCCCTCCCCCCTGGCGCCGGGCCTGAAGTGTGCCAGCGCGTGACTGCGCGCCACTGGCCGCGACCCCCCGTGGCGCAGCTCCCTGTCTGTCTGTCGGATGCCGCACGCGGGCCCACCTGCCTAGACGCAGCCTGCCGCCAGCCCGCGTAGCAAGAACGGGGCGCCTTCCCAAGGGTATCCTTGCATCCTTGCCCCATCCGGCCCATCCTCAGCGACTCTCGCTGGCCAACCTCGTTCGAAGAACGCCAACGTGGCCCTCCAGGGCCCTTGCATCCCTTCCGTGCGCCCTCCTGCTGCGGGCCGACCGTGCTCGGGGCCAGTCCCCGAGTGCTCTGGGCCCGCGCTCGCCCCGCTCCGCCCCGCTCCGCCCCGCTCCTTGCTCCGCTTCGCTCCGAGCCGCTGCCCCGCGCGCCGGGCCCGGAGGCCACCCCCGGCGAGCTGCCCGGCGAGCTGCCCGGCGAGCTGCCGGCGGAGCCCGCGGGCGGTTCGGAGGAGCCGGCGGAGCCGCCGGGCGGCCCGGAGGCGAAGAGGCGCCACGTGCTGGACCCCGGCGAGCTGCCCGGCGAGCTGCCCGGCGAGCTGCCGGCGGAGCCCGCGGGCGGTTCGGAGGAGCCGGCGGAGCCGCCGGGCGGCCCGGAGGCGAAGAGGCGCCACGTGCTGGACGGCAGCACGCCGCAGGAGCCGGGGGGCGGCGGCGACGGCGGCTGCCCCTCGGAGGGCAGCAACGCAAAAGACGGACTCGACGCGCGGGGCCTAGCTGGCCCACCGGGGAGGTGGGGGAGGGTAGGTGGATGGAGGGGGTAGGAGGGTGGGAGGAGGAGAGCTGGGGGTGGGGGAGTGGAGGAGGAGGCAGGAGGAGAGGAGGAGGAGGAGAGGAGGAGGAGGAGGAGGAGGAGGAGGAGGAGGAGGGAGTAGGATGGAGGAGGAGGAGGAGGAGGAGGGGAGGAGGAGGATGGAGGAGGAGGAGGAGGAGGAGGAGGAGGGAGGAGGAGGAGGGAGGAGGAGAGGAGGAGGAGGAGGAGGAGGAGGGAGGAGGGAGGTAGGAGGAGGAGGCGGAAGGAGGAGGAGGAGGGGAGGAGGAGGAGGAGGAGGGAGGGACGGAGGAGAGGAGGAGTAGGTAGGAGGAGGAGGAGGAGGGAGGAGGAGGAGGAGGAGGAGGAGGAGTGAGGAGGAGGGAGGAGGAGGAGGAGGAGGAGAGGAGGAGGAGGAGGAGGAGGAGGAGGAGGAGGAGGGGAGAGGAGGAGGAGAAGGGGGAAAGGAGGAGGAGGAGGAGGAGGAGGAGGAGGAGGAGGAGGAGGAGGAGGAAGGAGGAGGACGGAGGAGGAGGAGGACGGAGGGAGGAGGGGGGGAGGAGGACAAGCTAGGTGCGCTCGCGTCATATCTGACGTCCTGCCCCTCCCTCCCTTCCCGTACCATGGCGTAGATATTCTCTCTAATCGCACCGTCGGATGTCGAGCAGTGCAATGATCGCGAGACGGCAGAGCGTAGCATGCCATAGCATGGCGTGGCGGTGCGCAGTGAGGCATTGCATCATAAAGCATTGCAACGCAAAGCATGGCATCGCTCAGCGGCGCAGAACACAATACCGCACAGCATGTCATGGCACGGCGCCAGGTTCCTTGGAAGGTATGTGATTGGCTTCGAGTGGACTGTGCCGGTGTGGAGTCGTGGCTCCATGTCTAGCTCCCTGGGCTCCCCGAAAATCTCCACACAAGGCGGGGCTGATGGAGAGCACCCGCTGGCTCTGCTTCCAACATCGCCATCTCAAAGCAGGGGCTCCCGCTTGATACTTCCTGAAAGCGAGGGCTTCTGCGACCCAAAGAATCAACGTATCGACACCGAATGTGGAATCACTTCCGATGTTTTTTTGGGAGGGGGGGGGGGGGCATTTTCTAAATTTTAGGGACTACGTATTTGGAAGGAAGGCCAGCGCTGCAGCGCGAGCACGATTCGGAACGAACGGAAGCGCGGACATGTGGCCAGCGCTGCAGGGGGAGCACCATTCGGATCGAGCGGAAGCCCGAAAATGACGCCAGCACTTCAGCGGGAGCAGCATTTTGGACAAAAGAACCTAGCGAAAACCCATTTCCCGGGAATCCTGCAAGCAAAAAACAATACGCGGAGAGGGGTCGGATATTTTCCGGATGTCATCAGGGGGGGAGAGTGGTATTCATGTTGCGTAATTGTGAAGGAGGAGAAGGAGAAGGAGAAGAAGGAGGAGGAGGAATCGGAGGAGAAGCAGTCGAATGAGGTGCAGCAGGGACGAGCAGCAGAAGTGTGTGTGGGGTGGGGGAAGAGAAGGAAGAAGGAAAGGACGACGACAACGACGACGACGACCCTCGGGGGTACACCAGCGGAGGGTGCAACCTCGGTGCCATCGCCCCAGCTGGCACCGCACGCTCTGGAAGATGTTACCGCAGAGTCACTCTTCGACTAAAGAGGCGTCAGGCGCGATCAGACCCGACTGCGTACCACCGAGGGGCCAACACCCAGTGGCCCTTGCTGCCACCAGAATATTCCTACACGGACCTAGCAACGAATGGTCTCCGAGCGCGCCGCTTCGCAGCAGAGTGTGACACCGTACAGCGTGTCAACTGGGCACCAACCACGCATGCAGCTTTGCGAGTTGACCACCACGTTGCAAGAGCGCTGACGGCCACGCCTGGGCCCAGGAGACATGATGAGAGCGGCGGCGACGATGACGAAGACGACGGCGACCATCACCACCACGACCGCGACGATGATTGAGAGGTAGATGGGGAGGAGGTGGGGGCTGGGAAGGGCACGTAGGGAGAAGGGAGGAGGAGATGGAGAAAGGGGCAAAGGAGGACGACGATGGGGGGAAGGGCGACGACGACAGCGGCGGCGGCGACAGCGACGGAACGACGGTGGACAGTCGGGGGAGCGGGGAAACGTCAGGAGGAGAACGGGGTAGGGGGATCAGGGCGGACGGGTGGGGGAATAATGAGACGAAGGGAGCAAGGAGGAGGAGGAGGAGGAGGAGGAGGAGGAGGAGGAGAAGGCAGGAGCAGGGAACAGGGAGCAGTAATCACGGGAGCAGGGAACAACGAGGGGAACAGGAGGAAGGAGGGAAAGGCGAGGAGGGAGGGAGGAGGAGGGAGGACGAGGAGGACGGTTGCGCCTCTCTCACCCTATCGTCCCTTCTTTGCCCGTTCCTCCCTTCTGCCTTCCCCTTCCCTCTCCGCTCCTCCCCTCCTTTCCCCTTCCTCCCCGCACTTCCCCTTCATCTCTCCCCTCTCCCCTCCCAGTCTGCATCTATGTGTTTCCCCTCCGGGCTCCCTCTCTCCGCTTCCACCCTCTTTCGCATCCATCCGCTCTCCTCCGCCTTTTGCTGTCATCTCTTCACGCCTCCAGTGTTCCCCTGCCCCTTCCTCCTCCCCCCCGTCCCCGATCCCCTTCGCTCATCCGTGCTCCGCCCTCCCTTTCTGAGCTGTTCCTCCTCCTCCTCCTCCTCCTCCTCCTCCTCCTCCTCCTCCTCCTCCTCCTCCTCCCCCTCTTCCTCCTCCTCCTCCTTCCCCTCCTCCACTTCCTCCCCCCTCCCCCTCCCCCTCCTCCTCCTCCTCCTCTCCTCCCCTCCACCTACCCCTCCTCCTTTCCTCCTCCCTAATGTGTTCTTGGGTATGCTTACGTCTGTTCTCTCACTCCGCCTTGATGGCCTTCCTCCTCCTCCTTTTCTCCACCTCGTCCTCCTCCTCTCTCCTCCTCTTCTCCTTCCTTCCTCCTCCTCCTCCTCCTCCTCCTCCTCCTCCTCGTGAGAAGAGGAGCCCGAGCCGACCCGTTTGGCTACTCGCTGGGCCTAGCGCTGAGTGTTTGCGGCGCCCCTCCTCCTGCTCTTCCTCCTCCTCATCTTTTCCTGACCCATCCTCTTGTTCTCCTGCGCCGCCTCTTTCTTCCCTGCAACTCATCCTCCTGCTGCTCCTCCTCCTACTCCCCCTCCTCCTCTTCCTCCTCCTCCTCATCCTTCTCCTCCTCCTCCTCCTCCTCCTCCTCTTTCTCCTCCTCCATCCTCCTCTGCCCTCCTCTCCTCCTCGTCCTCCTGCTCTTCCTCCTCCTGCTCTTCCTCCTCATTCTTCCTCCCTCCTCAGCTGTTTCGGACCGATCCCCACCCCCGCTTCTGCTCGGGAGTCGACGGAGTTGTCCCCAGCCGAAGGTGTCCCAAATGCCCCTGGTAGGCCCCGCAATGCGGAGGAGACAGAGGGAGGTACGAGGAAGGCATGACGAGAAGAGTGAGCAGGAGGAGAAGTAGGAGGAGGAAAAAGCGGAGGCGGAGGAGGAGGAGGAAGAGGAGGAGGCGGAGGAGGAGGAGAAGGAGGACGTGGAGGAGGAGGGGCGAAGAGGCGGAAAGGGAAGCGTACGAGGACTGCAACGACGGAAATAACCCCCTTCAGTACTACGGATAGCCCGCGCGAGGCGTCGGACGTACTTGGGACATGACACAGTTCAGGTGTGGGAACTTGAGACATATGGCAGGGCCGAGACATCATTCCCGCAAAGCCCTCAGGTCCTCGTCCGTGTCGTTCTCCCCTGCCGCCTCCTTCTCCCCCCTCTCCGCCGTCCTTCCCCACCTTTATCTTCCCATCTCCCTCGCTCTCGCGCTCGCCGCAGCCTGTTTCTCCCCTCCTCGTCGATCTGTTCAGCCCTCGCATCCTCTCCTCCTCGTCGTCCTCCTCATACTCCTTCGCTCCCCCCTGTCCCACCCCTCCTCCCCTATCCCCTCCGTATCATCATTCCTCTACTTCCTCGCATCCTTCTCCCGCTCGCCCCTCTCCGTCTTCTCGTCCGCCTCCCTTTGGTGACGCTCTGTCTTCTTCTTTTTCTCTTCCCCCTAATCCTCCCTCCCCACTCTTCAACCTTGCGTCCCCCTTCATCCGTCCTCCACTTGTCCTCCTCCCACTCCTCCTCATCCTTTCATCCTTCGTCCTCCCCCCACTATCCCTCTCCATCCTGTCGTATGTGCCTCCCCTAGTCACTATCGTGTTCCTGATCCTCCTCCTCATGATCATATTTCTGATCATGTTTCGGTTCCTGTCTGTTGTTCTCCTCCCTCATACCAGGCTCATCCTCATCATTATTATTACCCTTCTAGATAGCATCCCGCAGTTGCGGATAAGAGTGATGCGGCGGACGTGTGGTGGGTCGCTGGTGGGTCGCGAGTGGATCGCGGGTGGGCCAGGAGTGGGCTCGCAGGGTGGGTCTGTGGTGGGGCGTGGGCGGGTCGCGGGCGAGGACGACGACAACAACACAACAACTCACCCCCGATACCCGCCATCTTCGTCCTCGCTCATGCCTCCATGGGGGGTATACCTCCCTCACATGCCAGGTGTAGTTGGCGCAGCCCCTTGAGACAAAGGAGGAGAGGGAAGAGGGAAGAGACACAGGAGGGGGAATGAGGGAGGGGGAGGGGGAAATGGGGAGGGGAAGGGAAAAGGGAGGGGGAGGGGAAATGGGGGAGGGGAAATGGGGGAGGGGAAATGGGGGAGGGGAAGAGAAGGGAAGAGACAAGGGGGAGGGAGAATGATGGAGCACGGGAGAGATTTATTGGAGGGTGGTTTGGGAGCAGGAGTCCGAGCGGCAGAACCCGGCGGGCAAGTCGGGGCGGGCGGGCTGCTGAAGCGTCAGCCCAGCATGACTCGCAAGGAAGCGTCGAGAGACAGCGCGGCTCCCGAGCACATCGTGAATGCATCCGAGGCGAGAGCGTGATTCCGGAGTGCTGGGGGGCACGGCGCCGCAGCAGATTGAGAGCGCGATTGCTGCTCACGGTACAAGGAACTCGCGCGAGAGCGCGATTCTGAGAATACATGGTAAGGACGTGTCAGGCGGGAGCCGATGTTGCTATACGTCGGAGGGCAGGGGACCAACCTGAGGCCCAATAGTTCCAGAAGATCAAGGTGCAACCCCCTGGAGGAAGACTTTATTGAAACAACACGATGGGCACCGAGGGGGGGCATAACAAGAAGTCTGCTTCAGGAGTGAGAACTACATTACCCTATTAAGATTGAACGTTTTTTTACCTGCCCTCCTCTTCTTCGATCGTTCCCCCTTGGGATCATCCCTTCCTTACCTGCCACATGTAATTGCCGCAGCCAGTAAGACAGGGGAAGAGAGGACGGATGGAAGGAAGGGACCAGGAGGAGGGAGAAGGATGGAGCCAAAGAGAGGATAACAGGAGGGGGGATAGGATAGAACAAACACAAGTGGAGAACCAGACGGGCAGACTGTATTCGAGAACCAGACGGGCAGATCGGGCGGGTAGACCATAACGGGCAGGTCGGGAAGGCGGGCCCAGGCGGCTGGGTCGAGCAGGCGGGCTGCTGAAGCGTGCGTCCTCCATGAATCGAGGGGAAGTCTCGAGCGATATAGCGATTCCCAAACACACATCGCGAGGGAGGCCCAAGCGAGAGCGTGATTCCTGATTGTCGAGGGCGCGGCGTCTGAATAAATTGCGAGGAGGTATTACGCGAGAGGGCGACTCCTGCATACACTCTGAGGAAGTCCCGCTCGAGAGTACCAGTTTGGAATGCATGCGGGAGCCGTTGTCGTGGTTAGCCTGGAGTCAAGAAGCAAATCTGAGGCGCAATCTTGTTCCTGCTGAAATGAGGCGCGAACTCCGGAAGGAGCATTCTAATTCAGAAACAAATTGGTCGTCAGGGGAAAAAGGCTGGGTCTCACCCAAGGCCTGGCTGGGGGAAAAAACATGGTCCTTGAGTGTGTACGTCACGCGCTGCAATCTGGCACGGGCCAAGTGAACCGCCCGTCCAATAGCATTGCGCACAGAACAGCAGCGGTGTAGCGCGCGTCACAAAACAACATGACAAGGTCATCCGTGCTCTTTGTGCGACTGCGTGAGTTCTGCGGGCCTCCTTGAGGGGGAGCTTGGCTTCGAGTGTTTTTCCTGCGCCACCGAGGTTGGGCGACTCTTCTTGCGGGCGGGCGGGGGCAGTGCCCCGGGGCCCGCGGGACCTTCTTGGGGGTTCCGCGGAGCGCGTTTCCGACGGGCGCCCCGGGGCGAACCGTCAGGATCTCGGTTTCGCCCTACAGCAACGGCGTTGTTCTAGGACGTTGTTGTAGGGCCCTTGCCCCCCGCCCACCAACCCGTCGACATATCACTTTCTACCGACAGCAACGCGTTTCGACCGTCGAAACGAAATGCTGCCCGGGAAGGAATCTGGCGCGCGCGTTGCCGTAGGGCTGGTTTCCAGGCCCCGACGGCCCCGTGGGGATCGGTGCGCAATGTGTCCCAGATGGCCCCAAGAGCCCCTCCAAGACCGTTCGTGGGGCTCCAAGAGAGCCCCGCGAGGGCCCCAACGGGGGACGAAGATCCTTCCAGAGAGCCCGGCCCACTACCCCTTCGCACTAGCCCCAAGAGGGCCCCCAGAAGCTCAGGGAGGACCCTGGACGTACGCGACGCGAATGTTCGAGTGGATGACGAATTGCGTGTTGCGTAGTTCAGGATGCTCAGGCACGCGGCAGCCAGCTTCTCATAAGCCAGTCCAAAGCAATTTTCTCGGCTAACCCCACCTGGCACAGAACCCCACCTTCAGTCCCTCCCGAAATGGGCGCCAGGGAGGGAGCCAATAATAATTATCCTGTAGCAATAATTATTCAACGCAGCAGACACAACAACGCACTAACAATCCGCTCTGCGGAGCCTCACTTCAGCCACGCGCCTTGGGACAGTGAATGACCTGTCGGCCCCCTCCCTATGACTTATGATCACACCTTTTTTTTGCGTCGTCGCCGATGTCATCGTCCACTTCTCCCAACCCCAGTCGATTCTTCCCTGGGGAGGTCTATACAATTCGTGACGTGCTCTTCTCCTGCTCCTCCCCGTCGGGACGGAGGGGCACGAGGATGTGGGAGGAGGAGCAAGGGAAAGGGAAGGGAGAGTTAGGACAGGCAGCGCGCCCCGTCTTTTCCACGCCAGGTTTAGGTGTTGACTCACGCAGCTCAGGCGCGAGGCGGTTGTCATCGAAAAAAAGAGAGAACGAACAGATGCTCAACTGTGCTGGAATTGGGCTCCCCTGGACTCCTCCTTACCCAGGGTGCAGCCTCGCTGAGAAAGCGCCTTGAGCCATTGATTCGCGGAGCTCCGACGCGAGGTGATTGTCATCAGCTGTCAAGCCTTCATTGCCATTGCTGCGGGGGACAACAAGAGGGGGGCGGGGACAAGGAGAAGAGCGAGAAGGGCCGAGACTCCCGACTTGGTGTGTCTCTCACGAAGTGGCCCCTGGACCCGCAGAGGTCTGAACCACTACGTACCCCTGGGCCGTATTTTTGACGGCCCTGGTCTCGCGTTGAGGGCCCCACGGACGCTGACCTCCCTGGTCGGGCCCGAGCCCAATCTACTTTGTTGTCCGCCTTCCTACTTCTCATGTTTCCATGTACGCGGTGACGTGCCCCTGGACCGTATTTTTGACGGGTCCCGGTGCCCTTTGGGGGCCCCCAAGCGCCAAAAACATGCGTCTTTCTTGGGAATTTTGAATTCACGGTCTGTGATGACGGCGTCTGCCACGACGCGAAGGGATCTGGCAAGGAGGCGGGATCGGGCGGAGAGAAGAGGGGAGGGGAGGGCGGAGCCTCATCGGATGGCCCTCTCCAGCCCCGAGTTTGGGGCCGGGGGCGCCCCCATCGGCGCCCGCGCTGTGCCGGCGCCATGGGCAACACGCTGCGCTCGCACGAGGACCTGATCCATGTGCGCGGCTGGACCCGGCAGCAGATCGGCACACGGGGGGAGAAGGATAACGGTTTACGCCGGCGCAGTGTGTCTCTTCGCTCCTGGTCTCTCCTCCTCAGCCTCCTTGCCCCTATGTCCTCTCCTTCGCCTTGTCCTCCTCCTGATCCAATCTCCGCCTCTCTCCTCCGCCTCCGCCTCCTCTGCCGCTCCTTCGCCTCCTCCTCATCTCGGCCGTTGCGCTGTTTCGGGGCTGGGCTCGTCGAGCCCGCGGGGCACGAAGGCAAAAGGATGCCACCACACCGGTATGAGGATCCAACTAAACATAAGACAGAGGAGGAGCAGAGCAGCGGGAGGGGGCGAGGTGCCCGAGGGATCAACGCGCACCTCGTCAACGCCCCCTCCTCATTCCTTCCCTAAAGCAGCTCAACTACTTGAGCTGGCAGGTACTTACGTTTCAGATTCTCTCCGCAGCAGGCACCGCCTTCGAGCTCCTGCGGGGCAAGAACTGCCTGTACAGCCTCACCAGGGAGGAGTTCACCCGCTATTTCGGCGGGCGGAATCGGGAGGCCGTCCTTGTCTTCAAGGATTTATTGTCCTTCTCGTCTCCCGCCTTCCTCTTTCTCTCCGTTTTCCTCCCGTCCTCCTCCCTCCCATTTGCGCTCCCACGCATCTCTTACTACCAATCGCTAGTCCTCCCGGTCTCCCCTCCTGCTCGTTTCCCCCATGCTGCTCCTCCTCTTCCTCCTCCTCCTCATCATAATCATCATCCTCCTCCCCTTTTTCCAAACACTTGTTTTGGTTGTGCTTCTTCAGTTTCTTCTACGTTCCTGGACCTCGTCGATGGGATCTCGCCCGTTGGGCGCCCGTGGGCGTATGCGTGCGTGGCGGCCGGCTGCTGGTTTTTGTTCGCCCAGTGGCGCCTCGTGGGCGCTTCGTGGGTGCCCTGTGGGCGTGGTGGTCGGCTGTTGAGTCTTCGACCGGTGAGTGCCCGTGGGCGCCGTTTGGACGCTCGCATAGCTTACACCACGCATCTTACAGAGCACCATTCGCACCACACATCTTAGTCCGTGCACTTCTGTACATTCGTGTAGTTTCTACAGCATGTAGTAATACAGCATACGACACAGCATTCGCCACGCAGCTTGCTCCACGTAATTAGCGTGCACCACCTGGCTTGCACCGCAGACATTTCACCTGTGCAGCTTGCGTCACACAGCTTGCACCACACAGTTTACACCACAGAGCCGATACATCCAGAATGCAACAACAATGTCCGTTCGAGGCTTATGCTGGCAAGCAGCATCCTTCTCCTATTCCTCTTTCTCCTCCTCCTGCCCCTCCTCGATCCCCCCCCTGTCCTCCGCATCATTCGGCTGCTCCCCGTCTCCTCTCCTCGTCCCTTCCTCCCTCTCCCTTCTCGTCCTCGCCCCGAGAACCTGGACACGGACGGGGACGGCAGAGTGGACCTCTTCGAGATCTTCATCGTGCTCGCGATCTGGTCGGGCACGTCATGGGAGGAGAAGCTGGACGTCCTAGAGACGCTGCGCCGTCCCGTCGATCCCGGAGGGGGGCAGGGGAGCGAGTTCTTGTATACATCGGCGTGCGGGATGCACCACAACGCTAGATGAGAGCTGGCGCGCGAGCGCTCAAACACGGATCAGCTGTGGAGCCCTCGAGAGACATGCTGTCGCACAGGGGCATGGCCCTCGAGCTCGCGTAGCGCGCGAGCGCGCGCCAGGGCCCGGAGCGCAAGGGGTAGGCAGGGCGAGGCGCGGCGGAGGGGGGCGAGGATTAGGTCGGGCATGTCCTTCTACAGGCGGATTGTGGAAGAAAAGTTCAAGGTAGTCAAAACATATTCGAAGATGGTCAAGAGTGATCGGCAAAGCGTCCTCCGTTTTTTTCACTACGAGTTCTCCTCTTGTAGAGGGACGTGCCCGCAGGGCACCAAATCGTGCTGACAGGAAGGCGTGACGTGGTTTATGATTCGCCGGGAACCAAGCCCTAGCACATTTTCTGTGTGGCTGCCAACCGCCTTGCAGTCACAATGAGGAGGAGGAGGAGGAGGAGAAGGAGGAGGAGGATGCGCAGAAGGAGGAAGAGGTTTTGGAGGAGGAGGAGGAAGGGAAGGATGATGAGGAGGAGGAGGTGGCGAAGGAGGACGAGGAAGAGGAGGAGGAGGAGGAGGAGGAGGATGGAGGGGGAGGCGGGAGGAGAGAGGAGGGAGGAGGGAATTCGCTGGAAGTGCCCAGCGACCACAGTGTAGTGAGAGAAGGGGAGGGGGGACTGAGAAGGAGGAGGAAAAGAGGAGGAGGAGGAGGAAGAGGAGGAGGAGGAGGAGGGAAAGAGGCGGAGGAGGAGGAAGGAGGAGAGGAGGAGAAGGAGGAGGAGGGGGGAGGGGGAGGGGGGAGGGAGGAGGAGGAGGAGGAGGAGGAGGAGGAGGAAGGAGGAGGAGGACGACGGAGGAGGAGGAGGACGGAGGTGGGAGGAGGGTAGAAGAAGTTACCCGAGGAAGATGGATGGAAGGAGGGAGAGAGGAGGCGGATGAACAGGAGGAGGAGGAGGAGGAGGAGGGAGAACTGGGTACGGGGGGAGGGTATGGGGTGGTTGTGGTGCAAGTGACTGTCACGTTGGACTTCGCTTGTTGCACTTAGCTTCGAGGGGGGCAGGAAATTCTCTGGAGGAAGGACAAGGAGGAGGACAAGGAGTGGGAGGAGGCGAAGGCGAAGGAAGCGAAGGGGTAAGATGTGACCTTTTTAGGGTGGGGTGGGGGGTGGTATGAGGAAGCGGTGGTCGGCGGTTCGCAGGGATTGGAGTGATCTCTCAGGGGCTGAGACTTTCAGGGAGTGAGGGAGGGAGCCTCCCCCACCCCTTCCTCCCTCCCTCCGGCCGTGTCGGCGGCGAGCGAGGGGGGGAAGTGAGCAGGAGAAGGCCCTTCTCAGAAGGCGGCGGGGCTTTTCAGAAGCGCTCCGGCCTTCTGAGAAGTTTTCAGTGTCTTCTGTGGAGGTGTAGGAAACTGTTCAGAATACCGGAGGACTTACGAGCCTTCTGCGAAGGCCCGCCCCTTCTCAATTCCCCCGTGGGCTGGCCGCCGAATAGTGATGTTGATGCGGAGGTTTCGGAGTTGTATGAGGAGCAAGAGTGTTGACAATTTCGTCACCCATCCTTAGTCCCGATTGGGTGTGATGCGGAACCCTGGGGAGAGGGGACGCGGTAGCTGAGTATCCCACACGCTTTGCATCTCCTGTCAAGTGCGGGCGGTGGATTCTGTTCAAGCTTTTCGACATGATGCAGAAGGGATTCCTCAAGGTGGACGAGGTATGTCTTCTGTCGACCAGGCTCCTGCAGACGCTGCAGAAGTTTGTCAAGCTGGACGACGATTTCACTGCCCCCGATTTCGTCAGGTACTGGACCCAGAGGGCTGTGCCACTGGGCGAGAGCAGGGTTTCCCCCGATGCGTTCAGATCATGGGTCAGCAACTGTGAGCCTTTCGATCGGTTGAAGGGTTTTGTCGAATCCCACGCGGCGCGCGCTCAGCCCGACACCAACGCGAGCAGAATGCGAGTCCGGATCGGAGTCATCGAGAAGCACGGCGCAACCTTGCTCGAGCGGCTGGAGCATTTGCAAGACAAGCTGCCCGATTTCGGGGAGAATTGCATCGACTACGTGACAGCACTGGGGCGGCGCAAGCGGTGGGACTTCGTGATCCAGCAGCTGCGTGAGCTGATAATGAAGATCTCGAACACGTCGGAGAGCCTCCACTCCACTGTCGGGGATCTGGAACAGTCGCTCCACGAAGACGAGGTAAGGAGATGCTGCAGAGGACGAGGATGAGGAGCGAAGGAGGAGGAGAAGGAGGAGGAGGAGGAGGCGCAGAAGGAGGAAGCAGAGGAGGAGGTGCATGAGCAGGTGGAAGTGTGGATTGCCAAGGACGCGATAGGCTTACGTCAAGGGTACCAGAGCCGACCTCTGGGAATGAGGCGACCGTCGAAGAAGTACTGCAGACTTCGGCAGCCTGCAAGAAGAAGCATGGGTTTGCGAAGGTGTCCGCGTCTCACGGGTTCTGGCGTTTCTTGTTGGTCCATTGTCCCGGGGTCCAGCGTGCAGAAACATAGTCCAGTAGTTGTCCCACATGAGAGCCACATCCTCGAAGTAAGTCAAGGGCATGGCCGATGTCGAGCTGCCAGTGGCGGGGGGAAAGTTCACCAGAGAAACATTTTCCATAGCCCTATGACGTGTGCTACGGCCATGGCTCGAGATCGCCTCGGGGTTAGACCTCCCAGTTAAGTTTCAAAACGGATAGTTCAACGCACATGACCAGAGTCTGGCGAGTGACCTGCCGAAGCTCATTTCTGAATACCTACAGATGGGGCACGTCTGCGACCTCGTGTGGCCATTGAGAGCCATCCTTGACATTATTTTCAGCCTGTCTCTGATTTGTGGGATGGCGCCTCCTCACCAGCTGACAGTAACATCCTTCTCTTCAAAGCTGCTTTTGTGGTCGGGTAAACTATCAGCACACACGCACACGCCGTACGCAAATGCATGAAGTTGGCGACACCGGCTCCTGTTGAGTCCACGTGGTACGACACGACGCCCTGACCGTGCCGTGGGGGGCAGAATGAACGAAACACGCCCCACGGAACAGGAAGGACTGGTGCGCAGCGAAGAGCACAGAGGAAGGCCACTGGTAAGATCCAACCACCGGGCCCACGGCCAAGGGTGCAAACTGAGAGCCGAGGCACGTGAGCACAGCGCACACGCGCGGCGCCAGCGCACACGCACGCTCGCGCTGTGCGCAGCCAGGAGCCGCGGCGCCGCCGACGCTTCTGCTCCGTGGGCTCTCGCGGCCTCTGCCGCTCCTGCCAGGCCGCCCGAGAGACATCGTGCTGCGCATCGAGTGCAACGCGAAGAACGATCAGACCCGCGCCCTTGCGAGGCCCCTGGAGCAGGGCGACACGCTGGCCCAGACCCCGAAGAGCGATGTGAGCGCGTCTTCGCGCTCCCGCGGGTGGCCTGGCCTCCGAGAGGGCGCCTCGGCCAGACCTGCCGCTCCCACTGGGCCACCCGGGCGGAGCATCCCTGCGTGCGACGCCTCCGCTCGTGGAGCATCTGTAGAGGATGCGGAGGGCGAGCAGGGCAAGCCGCGCGCTCGCCCCGGGCCCTCGGAAGCCCTCCCAGACTGGCCCAGGCCGACGCCCGTGCCACCTCGCTGAAGAGCAGGCGCTCCCCCGGAGGGAGCGCCGGCGGGCAAAGCTGGGCCACGGCGGCGGCGAGGCCGCCAGATCCGAGGAAAAAACCCAGCACTAGCAGAAGTTGTCGGAGCTCCGCGCGGATCTCTTGAGCCCCCGACTCTCCAATCCCGGCAGCGCCTGCGGCACCGCCACTGGCGCCGCCCCTGGCGCGCTCTGCGCGCCAGGGAGGGGGACCCTGGCGCCGATTGAAGAACTCCGCGCGGGCCTCCGACAGTTTACGTTCACGCCTTCCTCTGCAGATGGCGACGCCGATGGCCGCCCGCGTCCTGCTTAGCACCACCCCGCGGCAGCACCCCCGAGCTCCGCTGCCCCGAAGACGCACGTTCTGAGCCGCAGAACGTCCCGTGCTCGTAAGGTCGATTTCAACATCGCTGATGGCACTTGCGTTTACACTGGTCCTCCTCCACTCCTCGGTCCTCCTCCTCCTCCTCCTCCTCCTCTCCCTCCCTCCTCCTCCTCCTCCTCCTCCCCCTCCTCCTCCTCCTCCTCCTCCTCCTCCTCCCTCCTCCTACTCCTCTCCCCTCCTCCTCCTCCTTTCCTTCTTCTCCTCCTCCTCCTCCTCCTCCTCCTCCTCCTCCTCCTCCTCCTCCTCCTCCTCCTCCTCCCCCGCCTCCTCCCCCTCCTCCTCCTCCTCCTCCTCCTCCGTGTCGAGACGCTGCGTGGTGGCCCAACGTGTCGGCCAACGTTTTGGCGAACGTATCGCGCCAGACCTGCGCTTTCGATTGTGGTGTCCAAAACACGAGTAGCGGCGCAGTCCATGGTTTGTGACAGCGTGTGGGATTTTCTGGAAAACGCTTGCGCAGGCGTTGGAAAGGATGTCTGGGGAGCTGGCAAGTTTGAGAAAGGGGCTCCGCAGGAGCCCCCAAGGAGCTTCGACTGAGCTGCGGGAAGGTGTCTGGCACACGTATTGGGGATGAGTATGAAAACGTTTCTCGGGACCCGCTGGAAGCTCAAGCAACTCGCTGCGAGGTGTCTGGGCCGGCGCTGGAAAGAGCTGCCGGTCCGCCCAGCAACAACGACATAAACATAACAACTCGGAGGCCCGCGCGGATTTCTTTGGATCCGCGCTGGACCCCCCTCACTGGCGCGTGGAGCGCGTCAGGGGCGGCGCTGGAGGCGCCGCCAGGGCGGTCCAGCGCCGATCTGAGAAATCCGTGCGGACCTCCGAGTTGTTATGTTTATGTTATTGTTCGTACCTCTATCTACTTCCACAATCCCCTGAGCTCTCCAAGGAGCTGCCTGGGAAGCTACCAGGAAGCTGGACGCACATGACGTGGCCGGCCTGGGCGAGAGCCGGGTGCACGCGTCTCCACAGGTCTTCCCAGCGCTCGGCCCTCGTGCGGCCAGGCGCGGTGCTCCTCCACGTGCGTATCTAGCAGGTGGCCTCCAGATGGTCCGCACGTGGGTCTAGCCACGCATGTTTCCAGCCTGGTCCGATCGAGGTCGGTTCGGGGAGGGTGCCCTGATGTGCTTGGTTGCGGTGGCTCTTGATGTATATTGAATATTGGGGGGGGTACGTTCGAGGGATCGTCGGGTTTGGGGTGTGCTGGCCGGCGGAGGGCCTCATGTTCTGGAAGGGTGGTCTTCTGTCCCAGGTCCGACCGACCGAGCGCCCCCCCCTCCTTTCCCCACTCCCCCGCGGTTGTCGTCCGTCCGTCGTCCGTCGTTTTCGTCGTCGTGTCGCGTCGTCCCCCTGCACTCTGGGCCACTGGGCTCCCGCTCGCGGGGAAAAGAACGTGCTGAGCTCCCTGCCGAAAAGCTGCGTGCTGCGTCTTGCGAGTCGGGGCAGCCGGGTCCGCGCGCGGCCCCGCGCGTGCTGCGGCCGCCCTCCGCCGTCCAGCCCGCCGGGAGGGCCGCGCGGGCCGCGGCCTCTCTGCAGCCAGGGCGCCGCAGCAGGGGCACCTGCGGGCTCCGGGAAGGGGTTCCGCCTGGCAGGCCCCGCCTCGGATTACTTGCCACGGAGCAGTGGTGCGGCTTCAATCGTCGCCTCGTGTGCGTCCGTCGCCTGCGATTCTCTTCGTTTCTGGCCTCCGAGGGGCCGTTGTTGGGCTCGCCCTGCTCGTTTTTCCAAGCCACCCTGTGGTGTCGGGTCCTCGTTTTGATGAGACAGCGCCCCGCGTTCCTTCCTCCTTTCCTCCATCCACCCCCTCCTTGCCCCCGAGTGCCCTGCGCACCAATCAACCACATCGGCACACCCCTCACACGTTTCATGGCCCCATAGGGAGCTCCACCGAAGGCCCAAATGCCAGCGTTCGCATCCGCCCACCACATCCGTGCTGGCACACCCCTCACACGCTTCGTGGCCACATAGGGAGCTCCATCGACGGCCCCAGCCGCTGCGTTCGCATCCGCCCACCGCACCCAATTTGGCACACCCCTCACACGCTGCGTGGCACAAAAGGGAGCTCCGCCGACGGCCGGCATGCCAGCGCTCGCGTGCGCCCACCGCACCCAATTTGGCACACCTCTCACACGTTTCGTCGCCCCTCGGGGAGCTCCACCGACCGCACCAGTGATTTGTTTCGCTTGCGCCCACCGCACCGTTGTGGCAGCTGGCGCCCCTCACACGTTTCGTGGCCCCAAAAGGGTGTTCCTCCGCAAGCGGTGCATGAACGACGGTGCTCAAAGCTGCCTATGGGTGGGCCGTTCGCCTGGCTCATTTTCCCGAAGAGTTTGACCAGAATTTTGCCGCCCTTAGGCCGCATAAGATTCCGACCATGTGGTTTCATGGGGAGGAAGAGGAAATGCGGAAGAGGGGGGGGCGCATTAGGGGGGGAGGAGGGGAACGATGAGGAAGTGTGGAGGGTGAGGCAGTGTGGGCGGTGAGGATGCGCGGAGGAGGAGGAGGTGGAGGAGGACCAGTGTAAAACCAAGAGGCATCAACGATGTTGGATGTAACCCTCCCTCCAAGCTCCCTTTCCATAGGCCCCCTACAACGATTCATTTCCATTGAGGGAACTGCCTCGTTAGAAGACAACCGTTCGAAGATCCTGCAGCCTGCCAAAACATTGTTCTCGGGATGTCAACGCCACGCATCAACTTGACTGCTGCGCCCGTCTTGACGATCCGGAATAGTGCCAGTGCGCCATATTTGGGTCATCAGCACCGCGAACCAACATAACTGTTGCACCCCCATATCTTTGAATCCTTCCAAAACGCAATTTCTGGTACGCTGATCATAGGAATCCGTGGAACCCTTGCAACGTTCGAAATCGAAGGTGCGCGGCGCTAAGGCGAGAGCCACATTTTGAGAAGGAACCGCCCTCAAACCGCGAAGCTCTTGCAAACTTTGAAAACGAATGTGCGCGGCGCTCAGGCGAGAGCCACATTTTGAAAAGGAGCCGCCCTCAATCCGTGAAACTCTTGCAAGCGTCTAAAACGAAAACGAATGTGCGCGGCGCCCAGGCGAGAGCCACATTTTGAAAGGAACCGCTTTCAATCCGTGAAACCCGTGCAAACTTTGAAAACGAACGCGCGCGGCGCTGAGGCGAGAGCCGCACTAAAAAAACGGCCCGCCCCCACTCCGTGAAGCTCTTGCACATTTTGTTAAACGAATGCGCGCTGCGCTAAGGCGAGACCGACATATTGAAAACGACCTGCCCCAACTCCGTGAAACTCTTGCACATTTGTTGA